ACGACCCAAGGGAGCAGCACGCCTATACTCATTCCTCCGTGCGTCCCAGAGGGCACGTGCCAGAGCACGACCCAAGGGACCAGCACACATCCTCTCTCATCTCCTTCCTCCGTGCGTCCCAGAGGGTACGTGCCGGAGCACGACCCCAGGGAGCAGCACGCCTCGACTCCTTCCTCCGTGCGTCCCAGAGGGTACGTGCCGGAGCATGACCCAAGGGACCAGCACGCCTCGACTCCTTCCTCCGTGCGTCCCAGAGGGTACGTGCCGGAGCACGACCCAAGGGAGCAGCACGCCTCGACTCCTTCCTCCGTGCGTCCCAGAGGGTACGTGTCGGAGCACGACCCAATGGACCAGCACGCCTCGACTCCTTCCTCCGTGCGTCCCAGAGGGTACGTGCCGGAGCATGACCCAAGGGACCAGCACGCCTCGACTCCTTCGTCCGTGCGTCCCAGAGGATACGTGCCGGAGCACGACCCAAGGGAGCAGCACGCCTCGACTCCTTCCCCCGTGCGTCCCAGAGGGTACGTGCCGGAGCACGACCCAAGGGAGCAGCACGCCTCGACTCCTTCGTCCGTGCGTCCCACAGGGTACGTGCCGGAGCACGACCCAAGGGACCAGCACACATCCTCTCTCATCTCTTTCCTCCGTGCGTCCCAGAGGGTACGTGCCAGAGCACGAACAGAAGGAGCAGCGCGCCTCGACTCCTTCCTCCGTGCGTCCCAGAGGGTACGTGCCGGAGCACGACCCAAGGGAGCAGCACGCCTCGACTCCTTCCTCCGTGCGTTCCAGAGGATACGTGCCGGAGCACGACCCAAGGGAGCAGCACGCCTCGACTCCTTCCTCCGTGCGTCCCAGAGGGTACGTGCCGGAGCACGACCCAGGGGAGCAGCACGCCTCGACTCCTTCCTCCGTTCGTCCCAGAGGGTACGTGCCGGAGCACGACCCAAGGGAGCAGCACGCCTCGACTTATTCCTCCGTGCGTCCCAGAGGGTACGTGCCGGAGCACGACCCAAGGGACCAGCACGCCTCGACTCTTTCCCCCGTGCGTCCCAGAGGGTACGTGCCGGAGCACGACCCAGGGGAGCAGCACGCCTCGACTCCTTCTTCCGTGCGTCCCAGAGGGTACCTTCCAGAGCACGACCCAAGGGAGCAGCACGCCTCGACTCCTGCCTCCGTGCGTCCCAGAGGGTTCGTGCCGGAGCACGACCCAAGGGAGCAGCACGCCTCGTCTCCTTCCTCACAGCATGAAAACGAGCAAACCGCCTGAGACATCCCCACAAATTGGCCGCGATCGCGCCCGTGTCCTACCCCCTGGCGGCTCCCCTTACGGGTGCTGACACCAGCTCCCCGCCTGAGACATCCTCAAAATCTGATCTGAAGGCCAAGGATGTTGGCCATGAAAACGGGCAAACCGCTTGAGACATCCCCACAAACTGGCCGCGAACGGGCCCGTGAAAACACCCCTGGCGGCTCCCCTTACGGGTGCTGAAACCAGTGCCCCGCTTGAGACATCTTCAAAATATGCTCTGAAAGCCAAGGATGTTGGGCATGAAAACGAGCAAACCGTTTGGACATCCCCACAAGCTGACCGCGAACAGGCCCGTGAAAACACCCTGGCGGCTCCCCTTAGGGGCACCAGCGCCCCGCCTGAGACATCCTCAAAATCTGCTGTGAATGCCGAGGATGTTGGGCATGAAAACAAGCAAACCGCATGAGACATCCCCACAAACTGGCCGCGAACGGGCCCGTGTCCTACCCCCTGGCGGTTCCCCTTAGGGGTGCTGAAACCAGCGCCCCGCCTGAGACGTCCTCAAAATCTGCTCCCAAAGCCAAGGATGTTGGCCATGAAAACGGGCAAACCGCTTGAGACATCCCCACAAACTGACCGCGAACGGGCCCATGAAAACACCCCTGGCGGCTCCCCTTAGGGATATTGAAACCAACGCCCCGCCTGTCACATCTTCAAAATCTGATCTGAAAGCCAAGGATGCACGAAAACGAGCAAACCGCATGAGACATCCCCACAAATTGGCCGCGAACGGGCCCTTGAAAACACCCTTGGCGGCTCCCCTACGGGGGCTGAAACCAGCGCCCCGCCTGAGACATCCTCACAATCTGCTTTGAAAACAAAGGATGTTGGGCATGAAAACGAGCAAACCGCTTGAGACATCCGTATGTATGACTAGGGCTGAGTATGAGTAGGTTTCAGTCCGTGCGCTGAGTAACTCAGACTATGAGAAGGTCTGAGTATGTGTAGGTCTGAATATGAGTAAGTCTGTGTATGAGCAGGTCTGGGAACGAGTCTGGGTATGAGTAAATATGGGTATGAAGGAGTCCCAGCATGAGTAAGTCTGAGTATGAGTTGAGTAAGTCAGACCATGAGAAAGTATGAGTATGAGTAGGTATGAGTATGCGTAAGTCTGTGTATGAGTAGGTGTGTTATCTCTGGAGTCGGCGGCGTCAGAGTAACAACAAGAAACCCATCTTAGGAGAGGGGAAAAAACCCAACCCATGGTGGCATCTTCACGCTGGCGAAGGAGACTGGCAGGGCAGGGCGCCCCTGGTGGCCTGGAACTGCTGCACTAAACCCGTCGTCTGGGCCAACACTGTGCTTTTCAGATTGCTCAATTGCTCGCTCCTACGATTCGGCTGCAAGACATTTGCGGCGGTCAAGTTCGCGCGGTGTGCCATGACCGCTTCCTCCGCAGGTGCAATCCATGGGGGGGTCGGAGTCTGTTGTGCCGTAGCTGCAAACATCGAATGGGGGGCTTGTGGGAGAATTGGTGGGCTCGACGGGGGTCTCGTAGGTGACCTGCAAGCACCATCCCCCGCCTCTCTCGTAACCTCCACATCGGGACTTAAGCTCTGGCCTTCCTCCTCTTTCGCATTGGTGAGTTGCGCGGTGGTTAGCTATATCGTCTGGATTGGCTGTTCGGCCTGGATGCGCGTCTCCTTCAACTCGTTTTCCCGCTGCAGGGGATTTCAAGGCCGTCTGCTCCTCTTCTGACTGGATAACTGGATGCGAGCTGCCGACAATTGAGCCTCTGCACTTGGAATAGATGCTTGCATGTACTTGCGAAATACGGACTTCCACGAAATCCGATTGGGGGGCTCTCGCCTAGCAGCTTACGCTGATTTGATCAGTGGCGAGCTTGCGGATCTTATCCTTGATA